TTCTCTCTAAACACTGCTAATCGGGTTAGCCATTAAAGTCTTCAATCCCGTGTTATGTGTATCCTGTAGGTAGGCAAACTTGCTACTCCAGACGCAGGTGGCAGGCAGTGGATTCAAATGCGGTCTCTCGTGTTCAAGTGCCCATTAGCATTCTGTGAAGGTGGAGTTTCCCAACGCTGTTATTCCTATTTGCTACAATTCTCCACTAATTTAAGTATTTAAACAAATGTGTCTGGATCCACACAACATTTAACACTATGAGAAATCGGATTTACAAGAGAACTGCTCTTGTAAATTGTGCACTTACGCGACTCAAATCGAATTTTAAGGAAGTGTCTCGATTACAAGGAGAGTTTTCCATAAAATGGCGAGGTGGAGCTAAAAAAATAATATTACAGAAGGAATTACTATTATTATATTTTCTCTTTCTAAGATAGTCCTTTGCGGCGAAACCGCCTATGAAAATCGACTTGTTTTGCGGTGCGTGCAAGTGACCAGCTACGTGGAATGGCGTCCGTCATCTAGTCTCTCCCGATGTTTTACTTAAAAAAATTACAGATCGGATTTCGACTAAATTTGGTATTGACGGTTTACAGTAAAATTTATTGGATCAAATTAAATTTGTTCGTACTGGTCTAACACGACACCTAGCCCCTAATTTATATGAAGATCAAATAAAGCAAGTAAGAAACAACGTCTATGATGCAGAGTTGTCTTTAAGAATTTCAATCACTCAGGTAGTCAAAAACTTCCCCACTTTTATGGAGCACAAGGTTCACTGCCGTTTTCAAAAGAGTCGAAAACGGTTCCTGCCCTGAGCCACATTAATTCAATTCCAGATAACTATTTTCCTAAGATTCATTTTAATATTATTCTTCCAAAAACACCTATGTTGTCTCTTCCCTTCAGGCTTCCGGGCCAAAAATTTATACATTTTCTAAAAGACAACAAAATCTCATCATACAAAAACTTAAAAGCATAAAAAGTCTGCACAAATCCTTAGCGTCGTGACACCTGAAATGTTCATCATGGCGTCTAAATTTTTCTGCATATTATTCTGATAGTTTTGTATCTTCGGGTATGTTTTGAACATTTTAAAATTCGCTCATGTCGTTCAGATTCTATTGAGTGACAGCTTTGGGGTTTGTGAATAAATTAAAGGGATACGAAGTTTATAGTTCCAGTCCTGGCTTCTGGAAATGACTAATTTTTTTTTTAAAAAATAATCCCTGTCATAATGTAACAGATCCCATTAATATTCCTAACTATTGTTTATGAAACTTTTCGGTATATCGAAATGAGAAGTTTCAAGGTCACGAGGTACTGCGTACGTAACCCGCCAAGTCATCATCAGAATCTAAAGAATGACTGTCCCATATAGTTAGTTAATAAATTGAAATACACGGCAAAATCATTTCCAACTGTGCATAGTTACGGAACAACACATTTGTATCTACAACAAACGCATAACATAACAAAAAAGTTGTCAGTGGAACCACGGTTCCGGAGAATTAGACGTAAATACGTCTATACGGAAAGGAAGTTTATATATTGGCTTTATTCTAAATATTTCCTTTATACATGCTTTACAATTGAGATAAGTTTGATTAAGACATTGCTTATTTAACTTGAATTAGTTACGCTTAAGATGGGTCTGTGGTAG